GCTCCTACCCGGGGGCACCGCGCGCAGCTGGCGCAATTGAGCCATCGCGGAGGCTCCTCTCGCGCAGCGCCGGCCGCTTGGCGCATTCCGCAGGCGCAAAGGGTCCAGTCCTGACCCCTCGCTTCCGCGCTCTCTCAAGAGCCTATGTATGCATAAGGGATTTTCGTTACTAGGCTTCATGCTCGCACAAATTATAGCGTCATTTAGTAAATATATTCGCACGAGAAAAAAAGCAACGTGCTCTAAAACAAGCATCAAACTACTCCATTGCCTTTGAATCCGATCTTCACGAGTGGTATTGATGCGGAGAGAGGAAGAGGAAGGCGCTGTGCAGTTGCGGTCGAACCGTCACGTCGTCGCAGCTATGATCTGCCCACGCACGTCCTCTCGCCACTGACGAGATGGACTAATTGGAATTATTTCGATCAGACAGAATGTGTGAGGCCAACCAGGATGGCCGAGGTGTGCCGACTAAGCGCCTCGCGGAAGGGTCGCGGGTTCGAGTGGGCGTGATTGCCTTTCGTGTATGTGTGTTGTCGCGGAAGGCCGACCTGGTGAGTCTGCTGACCACAGACCGAGGAGACCGTACGTGTCAGTTTTTAGTGAAATAGATTAATATGTGTTCCTGTGAGGGACACAGTGAGTAACCGGCGTGGATAGTCCAAAATCGCGAACCCCTGAAGCGAGAAAAAGTCCCCGGAAGAAAGAAAGAAAGAAAGAAAGAAGGAAAAAACGAGACAAAATGCTTGAGAGAGCATTTTCTCATCGGCGAGAACGGGAGAGGTCGCACGAGGAAGCACCACACGCGGTGCCCATGCGCGTCCCCGTGGCAGAAGGACGACCGCTCCCGCCCGCCCAGCATGGGAAGCGCGGGCGCAGGCGGTGGCGACGGAACGAGGAAAATCCGGCGCAGCGCCAGCCGCGCGCGCGCGCTGTGCGTTGCGCAACCGCGGAAAAAGCGCATTCGCGTAATAATTGGCCTGCGAGCAGCTCTCCCTCTCCCCCCTCCGCACACCCACGCGCCTTCGCAGCAGTGGCCGGCGAAAGGAAACTGCGCGTGTCAGGCCGGAGCACGCTTTCAGCGACACGTGGACGCCATGCCGCACGAGCCAAGGACGATCGTAGGCTGATGAATCATATTCCGCGCATCATCGCATCATTGTTTTTTGAAGAGGTGTGCAGATTGTGCCGTGCAATGCAGTTGTTTACTCTGGCTCCCGGTTCTTTTTTCATTATCGTTGCATATTTGCTTCAATAGAACGGCTTAATACGGCAATTCTTGGAGCTGTTGGGATACAATATTGGCGTGTGTATCAGTAGTTCAGTTCTCGTGTACCAAGTATCGCGTTTCTTTCTGTCTTTCCACGTTTCCTTCTTCATTACTGTTTCATATTTGTTCCACTAGATCGGCTTAATTTTGTAATTTTTTGAACTGCTGAAAAACGGTCTTGACATCTGCATTCATAGCTTAGTTCACGTATCCAGAGAGATTACTAAAAAAGAGACAGCTTTGACACCTACTGCTTGGTCACAGCTGGTAATACAGCTGCAAGTTATGTCCATGCACTCATTTTGTCATGGCATTCGTTTACAGATAGCTCAGTTGTAAATGGCTTCTTACCTGTCTCTTATAATGTCATCGCCCTATATGACGTTCATTAGTTTCCCAACCTGTCAAAGTGGTCCTTTCTTAGAGTACCTCCTCTATACTACGCATCGCGCAATTGTCCCTTCAAATGTCATACCCGTTTGCTGTACCACCCGCCGCGCCGCGGTGCAGGCAGGCTGCCGTCGCCGGCCGCCTCGCCTCAACCCCGCCTCCACCCTGCGTCTGACTTTTCCTCGTTGCCTGCTGCTTCGCGCCGTCAATGGCTGCGAAGGCACGTGCAGGTGTGTGCGACGCAAAGACACACATGTGCACTTACACACACAGTAGCGACGCGTCTTTCTCTGTTCGTAGGCAACTGCTACATTTGCGAAACTGACTCTAACCGGTTGCGTCCTCCGTCACCACTTTCTCTGTCCCTGTCGGAGTGTACTCTTCTTACATCCGAACGTAACTCCTAACCACAAGTTTAAAGTGTGAGACTTGAGAAGAAGCTCCATAGAAGGCACTTCCTGCCGTGTCGTAGGGGAAAAGGAAGCAAAGTACGCACTATATATTTCAGTACTCGTGGGGCCATTAGAAAGTTCCACAGTCCTAACGCCCTTAGTTGTTTCGACCTTCTACTGGCAATTGTTTTTACTGCTTCTTGTTTCATGGGTATATCTCGTGGCAGTATTGCACGTAGGAAAGCTTGTGAAAACCGTTCAAGACAGTAGATGAATCTAATGATGGTGATGATATATGATAATTTGATAGCCAATAATTGATTTTAAATTGATTTTTAATTGCTGGTTTCATTATATATTGATGCAATGTTTAGTAATTGAGTTTATAACATCAACAGAATGCAATTTCTTTATGACTCCCTTCAGAATGCAGTTATCTTCAGAACGGTAGACGAGATTATTAGACTTAATTTTCACGTCTTTAAATATAACTTCTCGAAGCGGATATTGACGGCAGAGGCTCACCATTAAAGAACACTATTGCTCCCACGTCAGCCTTGGATTCCTCCACGAACTGAATGGCTAAGGGAAAACAGTTTTTCACAGTACCCACGCATGCCTTCGTTCCTCCTGCCGCAATGACAAATCCTGTTGCAACGTACACCTAGATCTTTACAACCCATTCACTATAATATATCCGTAATTACCAAATACGAATTCAAAAATATTTCCCGTGAACGGCGTGAGATGCACGTTAAAGCGTAACCTTTGGCCCGCCCACCCTCTGGGCAGCGGCTGGCGACGTGGGTGCGGGCAGCTCCGTTGGCCACGCGCGCCCATCGGACGCGCACGGCCCGCGCCCACGCTGACGCAAGCCTCCTGGCAGGCCGGAAATGCAATTGGGCGTGCACGTCGCGACCCGTGCGCTCCCGGCCTCGCTTCCGGCGCCGGGCAGAATCCGCGATTTCCCGCCCGCCGCGCCTTCTCTCTGCCACTCGGCGCGCTGCACCGCGCGGCTCTCTCTACGGTTCATTAAAACCCACTGGTAATAACTATCTATTTTTTTCTAATTGTATAAATGTATTTCCTTTTTGTGTTTAGTCGGGACTCTCCTGCTGTGCCCGACTTCCTGAGTCTGTAGGCGTCTGACGGATCTAGGTATTCCACCTCTCCCTCGGGCGATTTACCCAGTGGAGACTCTCCGAAACGCACGTCGAGATAGCGCTTGGAACCATTTGGGTGCTTACCTCTTTTTGGAAATTATGCAAGGCCCCGTTTGCGCGTTGGAGTCGCTGACATTGAGCTAGTGTATGTTTGTAGTTTTGTAGAGCTAGTGTAGTTTTTAGTAAACGTTGCTTGTGAATCAATGGCATAAATATAAATACAAATACAGATGTCGGTGTAGGGTTTCTGTTTATTTTATGTTTAGCAGAATAAATTGAAAATGCTCTAAATCCGTGTCTTATGAAAAGGCAATTCACTCGTCGCTTGTAGATAGCGAAGGAAGAACACCGATTAGAGTTATACACGCATACTTCTGCACACTGGGCAATAGTGAAATGATGAATATCACTATAAGATTTTGTCAGTGCAGTTTGAAGCGAAAATTGATCAAAATTTCTTCTTTCAGAAGAAACAAAGTTTCATGAAGGGGATAATTAACTGAGGTCGGGGTTAAGGCTAACTCAAACACCGTGGCAAAGAAATTAGAAAACCTGCTATCGCCGTTATATACTCGGCAGAAACGTGGCACCGCCTCAAAGTGAAATGTACTCTTAGGAAATTGAAGGCCGGAAATTCGCGTTTGGTACAGCCAGTCGTCAAACATCGGTAGCTGCGCAATGCGGGCGGCCGGCCGGCCGGCGCATGGCTTCATGACTTCATCGGCGCTCTAATGCTCTGCGGCCGAACAGGTTTACCACGTCCGCGCAATTTATTTGGAGGCGGCGCGCTCTGTAATTTGCAGGGGCTGCTGGGAACGACGCGCGCACTGCGCGGAGCTCCTGGGCCCGCCACGCACGCACGCGCGCACAGCGATAGGATTGCCTGCAGAGGGACTCGCGGCGGGTCAAGAAGTCAATGGAAATTCTTTATGGAATGCTAGCTACGCCTTGTGACTTTCGTTCTGGGTGACGGCGTATTAAAATATTGATTTTTCTCATCAACTGGAGTAATGGCGTTATGTCATGAAACTACCTTTAGCTACACCAGACATTTGGTTTCGACGTATCCATTCGCAATGCTTCGGCAGTGCAGGGCAATTAAGTAAGCGACTTCCTCGAAGTCCTCGCGATGTGGAGGTTTTACCTAACATTTCTGCAACTGTTGTATAAAATGTCTGGCCATATTTTCTTATTGTTTATTGAAATTCCTAAGAAAACTAAAAAAAAGTCAATTTTGAAGTTTTATTTCGAAAGAGTTATTTTTCTCCTGTGACCATTAAAACAACGACAGGGCAAAGCCCTTACGTTAGTTGGTGTTACAAGCGCCTGCAAGCCGACCCCTCCGTCCCTTCAAGTATTCCGCTTCTTCAGCAGCAGGCATTGAAACTATCATTTTTTGACGTTAACGTGCTACACAATGGATTTCATGGCTGGCTTTAGGTTGCAAAGAGGGCTCTAGGGGTTTTACACCGAAGAAATAATGATAGGGTGGCCACTCATGTCCTGGAACAAACTTCCATATTTCCGGTTTCCATTGAATTTTTTAAAAGCTACTCATTAAAAGCTTAATAATAAGATGGTTATAACCCAAACACAATCGTCGTAAAATGGAAAAGTTCACATTTGTACTTTTTGCCACCGTCTTACAGCAGATGACGTTCAAATGTTTCGAAATATTTGTTCTATAACCAAAACGGCTGTAATTATTTTAGCGTCTGAAACAACACACCTAAAAATGTTTTTCGCTACTGTTAACTCTGTGTTCATGCTAATTAATCAATTGATGACTTACGGTTTGAAACTTCTCAGATACGTTACATCATATTATTTTATTCGCGTAACCAGCAATTTTGGTGTAATTCGATGAAGAGTCCTACTAGAAATTCTTTGATTGGTTATTATGTTTTCGGTCCTACAAGCTTGTTAACCTGCTCATACTTACATCAGTCAATGAGTAAAGTGATGGAATTAAATGATTAACGAACTAAGTTTTAAATCCATAGCATTGAAATAACTGACGATCAGATTTTTAATTTTACACTATTTAAAGACAATATTAAAGCCAGTTTGATAACAGTTGGTGATCCCTCCGATTTCATCATGAGAAAGTACAAATTAACATTTTCTAAGCAAATAAAAACTGGAAAAAAAATTGTACTATACGTTGTGCTAAGGAATGTATAATTTTATAAGCCTCTAAATATGTTCTCTGATTTCTAAGGATTCTTGTACAAATTCCTCGATTTTCCATGTATTAGTTTCCAGAAAGTACCCACCCCGAACGAAATAACGTGACGTTTATTGCCGTCCGACCGCGCGAATGAGAATTTTTCTAAGCTTGGCGAAAGGTAATTCTCAAAATTCGGTAAATATTCCCTGAGAAAAATATCGTCGTAGAAACCAGAAGGTAACTTCTTAAAATTATGATCAGCATACATGGATTCCAAATATTAAGTTTATGTCTAAAGGCTACTATTTCTTCTGAAATTGAGAAAACTGACGATATATTTTACATCTGTGGAAGCAGATGTTTTTGTATGATACTGGGGTAAGAAATGAAACCATATTTACCTTCTTGTCCTTTCTAGAATAAAGTAAGTGATAAGAATCACGCAATAAATTGCGTTTGTGCATGAGACACGTTTACGCGAAATTTTAATAAACTATTCTCATTTGAATATCCGCTTAGTAAATGTTTCTCCTCTAATAAAACCCAATCTGTCGCAATATTTTCTTAAACATTATGTACTGTCTTCAGAGAGAAAAGGTAATGGAGTGAACTGAGGATGACGCAAGGAAAGAGATCAGGCGAGTGTACTTTCTGTTGACCATCGTTTACTAGATATGGCAGAGACCGGGAAATGGTATTTTTGACCTAATATTATTTGATTTTTCCTAATTTTCGTAAACGTGTTTAGCCGTCCAGCAGGTGATTACTGCAATGTAAAGTACCTAAACTTTAAGCGAACTCTTGTAAACTCGAGCATTTCTGATCCTGGAGCTGCATGAATGCGTGACGTCTCGTCTCATAGCGGAGTAATCTTTATCCTCTTTCCCCAAGCGCAGTGGAAGCGCACTGGAACTCCAGCGACGGGGGCGATCGAGAAGCCAGGGGCAGTAGGAGGAGATGAAATGGAGTCACTGCCATCTGTCGAATGCTTCCGTACTGTACCCTCTCCGCTTGAGATGAACTTCAAAGCCAACAGTAGTTGCATCTAAGGGACAATCGTGGATATTTTATGATATAACAAAAGAAAATTAGCCATTTTCATTTATTTTTTTTTTTGCATTTTTCGTCGATTTCCACTAATACGTAATTGTTTACCTTTTCCGTCATTTTTAAAGCTTTTTTTGCTAATTTCATCGACTTTATTATCATTTTAATGGTACTTCTTTCAAATAATATTTACAAGTAGTAACAAAAGATACAGAAATCCTGAGTAGCCTATTTGATTTCTTTGGTCAGAACTTGTAATATCAGCCGATGTATGTAATGTTTCTGTGACGACTATTAACGCCATTTCAGTTCGGCCAATTTCAGGATAACTAAAGACCGACTGGTAAAGAACAGTCTATATCAAACATCTGGAAGCTGAGTTCATTTGAACGAAAGGAAGAAGCCTATTACTTCATTAATAGGATCCAACATTTTGAGTTGTTCATCTCAATTGTTTTTGATCAAATTTGTTATGTCATTTTTCTTTACTTTTTATTCTTTGCATTTTATTGATCATTTTTGGCGATGTGTTTGGTCATCAAAATCCGCCTCCCACTTATGATTACGTCAGTTTTCTATCGCATCTGAGAAGAGTGGGCTCTTCTGAGTTTTCCCAGAAAAAGGCAGCTAAGTTTATTGATAAACAAGTCTCCAGAGAGAGAAAGCATTCGGAATCACCGCAGCGAATCGTAATGTGATACGAAGGGTGCATGAAAAACACCTGAAAACTGTGCATTGTTTGTGGACATATTAGAATGTCTCCGATGATGCAACACTAGTTGCGATGACTACCATCTACACGCATATGCACGCTTGTACGTCTGTGATGGTAAAGGGGAAGAAGCCCGATGCATTGTGTATGGGTTGTTTCTAACGCACAGGCGCCAGCGGCTACATTCGTTAAATAAGGGAAAGAATTCTCAAAGAATAAGCACAACTGAATAGAGTTAAATAGCATATTTTCATGTTACGTCATATCATTGCGAATCAACTCATAATGAGAACAATCAATAAGTAAATAGTGATGTAAATAAATTATTTACGAACTAAGATGTTTCATATCAAACTTTGGATGTAACAAACAAAAATATTGTACAATTACATAAAGAATGCGATTACTAGCGAAATGGAAAAGTTTTAAAAAAATGTAATAATTTTATGGTCACCCATTGGCTAACCAATTTTAAAAGATTCAAATCACAAAGTATGTTTGAGAGACTTCAAAGGCAATAGTAATGACAATGTAATAATAGAATCGAAATGTGTAAAGAGGTAGAAAGATGTTCACGCCTTTATTTCCAAAGTAAGTAAGTTTAACATGCAACTAACATTCTGGAGAGATAAAGAATTTCATTACTTTCATTATGTACAAAAGGTAGGTTTGTTATTCTGTTTTTTCATCTTGTGAAATATCTGATTTCATTTCGTTTCATAACATCCCATGTTCGTGTTTACTAGTAAGTGGATGTGTGTTCTCTAATAATCCGTTAACTGTGTGTTCATTTATACAGTAAAGACTTATCAAATATGCACTAAAACATGCCGCGTTAAGTGAGTAAAGCTTTATCCCATGAAAAAGGAAGACGCTTGTTTCGATTCCCGTTTCGGCCATATTTGAAGGGGAAGTCCCGTTGTGAAGTGTTGGATTGGTACCAGTACAAATCGCCTTACAAGAGCATCAGTGATACCAACTTTCAAAATTGACTTGACTTTACATTAAAAGATAATGATCTATCAGATCAATATCTTGCGTAATTCAATCACGGAAAATCAATTTTAGCCACAATGTATCAGTATACCTACAAATACATACTTCACTTTCGAAAACAAAATTTACGGATTGGAATAAACAGAAATAAACAGGTGTAACGCTAAACGTTTTCAAGAAAAATACGCAAAATAATTAACAAGTTGCAGAAATATGTTTATGAAGAAAACAGGCAAAATAAGCATTTTTTGCACCATCAAATTCCGTTTATATGATTAGATATTGGCTTTTTGAACATATATCAAGTAAGCATACTGTCTGACAGAGGGGGGGGGGAATATTCACGTGCTTAGAAATCCGGTTCCTGACGATTACATACTGGTAATACCATAATTAATTTGTTATTAATTAGATTAATACAAGACAAAAATATTGAAGTTATGTAAACAACCGCATAGGTTTAGGAAATCATTATTATTACTGTAAGAGTCACTTGGAAAGAAAATGCTATTAAAAGAAATCTAAAATCTGAAATAGCAACTATGATAATATCGTTACAGGTTTTCTGGAGCAACTTGACTGTAACTCTTAGAAAAAATGGATTCGAGTATAAAGATCTAGGGTTCTCAGGGACTGGGCTTGAAAGAACTAATATGAAAATCTCCTGACATCTGGAGGTGGACATATCTGGTGCATCTTGACTGTAACTCTTGGACTTGATCGATTGGAGTACATGATATCGGGTTTTCAGTTGTTTCATTTGGAAACCTGTGAATTGGAGCTTAGTGAGCGAGACTAGAGGCTAGCGCCTACCTGGACGAAGGCCTCGCCGGTGTAGAGGAAGTGCAGCAGGTGTCGCACGTCGCTGGCGCGCACGCCGGGCAGCTGGATGGCGGCCGGGCCTTCCACCGCCGCCGCCGGAGACTCCTGCAGCACGCGACGCACCAGCGGCGACGCGGCCGCCAGCACCAGGCGGTGCGCGCGCAGGCGCTCGCCGCCGTCGCAGATGAGCGTCACGTCCGCGAAGCGCTCGCCGTGGAACCACGCGCGGATCTCGCCGATGAGCGCCGCGTGGTGCTTGCCGTAGTGCAGCGTGAGGTGCCCGCTGCTGTCGAACATGGCCGTGCCTGAAACACCAGAGGTGGCCCGCGCCACGCCACATCACTCAAAGCACCCTGCGTTTGCCCCAGCCCCCGCCCCCGCCCCACCCTCCGGGAGGAAGCGCCCCCCGGACCCCGCCCGCGACCCACCCCCCGCGCCCAGGGGCTCGCTCGAGGTCCAGGGGGCCCTGGGCAGCGCAATTTGGAGCTGAGATCGCTTCGCTTAGCTGCGCTTTGGCGACGATCCCTACACACGGAAGGAGGGACGGTGCGGGGGCGGAGGAGGCGTGGGTGCAGCAGCGCCGCTTCGCGCCCTGGCCCAGGAGCGCTGCTGCCTGGAGGACGGGTCAGGGAGAGGCTGACGGGGACGAGGAGCGAGGAGGGCAGGGCCCGCACGCGGACTCAGCAACTACAGCGAACGCCGGCAGCCGGATGGCCGACGCGCGAGAGGGCGGCACAAGCCTCTCTCCGGGCCCTGCGCCACAGACACGACACGGGGCAAGCCGACACGAACAGAACACGAGTCTAGGCCGGAAGCAGGGCGCGGCGCCCCCTGACGTCGAGTGAGCCCCTGGGAAGAGCCTTAGGCTCCTAGAACGCGCTGGGCGCTGGGCGCCCGACTACGCTAGCGCTGGGCGCTCCGGATCAGACAGCACCTGGCAGCCACAGTAGCGGCAGCAGCAGCAGCGCCGTCAGCTGCCGCATCGTCGGAGGCGTCGGGAAGAAGAGGGCGGCGCGGCCACGCGCGCGCACACACACACACACACAGCGCACGATACGAGACAAGCGGCGCCTGGACCGTCCGTCCGGCGTCTGCGCTGCTCCAGGAACCGCCCGCTCTCGCCCTCGCTCCGCTCCCCCGCTCCCCCCGCGCCACGACCCCGCTGGACCAACAGCAGACGCCCGGGAGAGGGGGAAAGCCTTCCCTCTCTCTGCTCTCCCTCGGGAACACAGGGATGCGCAACGACTGTCAGTGGGGCAGGTCGCGTCCCCTCCCGGCTCCTCCCGGGCCCGCCCGGTCCCCGGCGCCTGCTGACCCCTTTGTCCGCCACATCATTCCGTATGCATTTTGGACAGGGCTCTCGCCCCAAATCCACATAACTTCAATTATGCTTTTGAAACCGCTGCTAGTGGGAATTATACGCGTATTTCATTGCAACGTTCAGTAAACTCGGTAATAACTGCTAGTAGCACTTCCGTCACCACATTACGGAGAGCTTCTAGATGATCAAACGAATATTCAAGTATTGAAAATGAAGTTCTTTCTTAATCTTACAAACTGTTATTGTGCCCATGTATGTAACGCCTCAGCATACGTTGTCGTTTAATTTCAGGAACATTTATAAATCTCATTAACAGACACGTCAGAGATTTCATTCGTTCAGGTTTCCTTGGAGGAGTCAAGTTTTCCTTGGGTGTCCTCGTGCCGCAGTTTCACTGCATCCGTTTTGTTTGTGTGCAATTAAGGACGTGAAGATCACATTTGCCAACACGAGGTGACTAGGGTAGGTGACGGGCATTACGGTGGAATGGAATAGCATTTTAGCGCTTTCATCACATAAGTATGTGATAAACAGAAATCAGACTGCTGATGTGAGGTTTAAAAGACTAATGAGAAACGAGGGTGTAGTTTCAAGTTCTATTATGTCTGTGTAAGTAGAAGTTTATAACTATTCCACCTTACTTCAGCTGACGCTTTGCTGCGCATTTCCGAGTTGGGGCAACGAGTCTCCGACCTTCACCTTAGGCAACTAACATAAAACTGTCTTCAGTCTCTGGACCGCATAAACGCGTTTAATGCAAAATATTTCTCCCGAACCCACAATTTTCCTCACACTGGGCAGTCGTCTTTGTTTAGCCAGCATCTTGCAGCTATTGTCAACATTAGCCAGATGAATCCCGTAACGAACCGTTCATCGTCATTCACACACCTTATGCAAATCGTATGGTTAATGTGTGAATGAATCGACTAATTCGCAAATTAGCCATATTTCCTACTTCAGCCGTTTCACATTATGTAAGCTTATTAAAAAGTGACTACTGTGCATTGTGTTAATGTAAACGATGATAGGTCGTGAAAAATAATCAATTTCAGGTAATGTTCATGGAAAGTATACAGAAAACCGCATTGTAATTAAATTGAAAATTTATAAAATAATTATTTAATTTAATCACAACTAACATCGGCGATTCAAACCAATCCATGTAAATCATTGCTAACATATTTCGACGTTTCAATAAATTTAATGAAAATTAAAATTAACCAAATTCAACTAATAATTAACTAATGATTTTGCATGAGAGAATGAATAATTTAACAAAATTATAATTAGAACCAAAAGCAGCTTCTTGGGGTACCGTAGTACGAGGTATAATCTCATTTCAAGTGCTTCATAAAATCCATCTCGTTTTCTCTATTCCTGCAGCAACTCGCACTACTCAGAACAGGCACGTCGCGATGCTGCCTCGCTTCGGACCATTTTCTCAGGAAAAGACCCCGTAACGGGCGTAAGAGTAATAGCACTCTTGTCCGTACTCGACGCATGCGGGTTGTGCTTGATCTCGTGTGGGCAAATTATGATACTGCTCGATCGCAGGAAATCTTGGATTTCCAAGTACATTAGCAATACAATGCGCTTGTTTAATTCTCAAGCAACAGGCGAAGAATGAAATTATTATTTTCGAAAATATTTTTTAAATTAATGTGTTCTGGATAGGTGAATGACTTGCGCAACTGTGAAACATGGTAGAAAGAAAGAGGAGAGGTCAGTTGAGGAACAAACTCTATTTTCGAGATTTTAAAGATTGGGGAGGATTAGAGAACTAACCGGCTCGCCCGTTCCGCCCGATAGTGGCGAGTCATTCAAAGGCCCATGAAGCTTGTCTGGTAAAACATCTTTATTTGTATAATACTTAGTAATGTATATCTTAAATTGTAGTAAGAAGAAACCAAAGTCCCCTTTACCTACATTTAATAAGTCTGGTTGAAAATAAGAGCAATAGCAGCTTCGCGTCCTGTGTTGAAACATAATCATCCACACAGAATATTTCGTTTACTTCTACTTGAATACACGATAGAATATCTGAACTATTCCGAGGAAACGATACATGTACTTTACCTTCACGAAAGTATCCAACTAATATATAAACGAGTGTTTACTGAAGAATGCAGTAAAATTGTAAGTGGGCAAGAATACGAAGTGAAAACGCCTAAACACCTGAAACAATCGGAACGCGGCTTACGACCAGAAGCACCCGCCCCCTTATTCATGGGCGTTACTGCTGGGGGAAGAGAAGGGGATGACGCAGGGAATACGTTTCACGTCCCCCTCCCCACTACTTTCAAGAACTACCTCCTGTTGTCTTATTTTAATTTAATTTTGTTCTGCTAAAGACACTTTCAGTATATGATTTTAACGATCGCATTGATTCGATACCGGTGATATTGAAATGATAACATGACGTACCGGAACATTTTTGCCGTCTTTTATTTATCTTAACTATACATGCACAGGAAAGGGAAATTATAAAGAAGCTTCAGATCTGACAGGAAGATACGGAGCTACGCCAAAAGTTTTCATATTCATATCGAAAGAAGAGAACGAATCACGTTCGTTTCCACCATTAATAATCACTGTCACCATCACCATCCATGTGTCGGACGTCATGTTGTCATTTGTTTTTAGATTATACTTGTATTACTAAATTCTCGAATATCTGCGTCGTAACTATACCTTTTCAATTTTCCGTGTCCACCTTGCTCACTTCAATAAATTGATTAAAAAATTCATGACTTCATCCAAAATTATGCCGAGGTACGCATTTCCTTTTATGTCCCCTCTCATTTTACAAGCCACTGGCGCCCATGCCAGAAATTCACCAAATGCACAATGATATAATAAGAAACAGAAAATATTTCTAACAGCCTCGCATTGTTTCTATGCGTTGAGGAAAAATGTGAGAGAATTTAAAAAGTAAGGTAATAGGGCCAATTATCATTTATGGATATTCACAACTGGAATGTGTTGTTTACAAGTTATCTTATTGGCGTGTCTGACGTGTTATCAGCCGACCTTGCTAGCAATAGCTTTTGTGGTGATGAAACGAAACGGTCATATTGTTTAGAATGAAGAACAAAGTAAAATGTTTATTTTCGCTAGATATGACAGGATATGTTCTCCATAATCCATCAGTTTTATGGGAATTTTACTGTATTCTTCTGTAACCTTGGATTCGAAACTTGAACTTCGAAAACGAATATCTTGATATTCCGAAAAGCGACTCGTACGTACTTTAGGGACATTTTGTTGTGTGTATAATAATAAGTCTTTGTACTGACGCGCATACAATTCACACATTAGTAGGAGAGAGTTCGAATGCAACCATACGTACCAGCGATATGTTCTTATAAGAAGTGTACTTATCGAGAAAAATGAGTGTTTTTCTACATGATTTAATTTATCCATTTGTATTGGAAAAATAGGAAATCCTTTCAACGTACGTAGAACAGAGAACAAACCGGTAATTTCTGGAAATGTACCTTAACGAATCTCGATAGTTCCACTTTGATCTTTTGTCCTGATATAATGAAGGCCGTTTCGTTTTACTGCTACTAGAGCTGCAGATAGCAAGGGCGACTGATAATTCTTCAAGAACGGCCCATGAAAAATATTTCATACCATCCTGAAATCTCGTTTTTCTGTGACTCCCTTTTTTTCCTTCTGGAAAAACAATTTATTTTATAACAGCTACAATAGTGGATGACAATACAGTGTAGATGACAACTTCAATACTACAAAACTACAATAGTGGATGACAACTTAAGGTCGGAATCTGAATTGTATATTGATTCAAGAAATTTTACATCGATTTCTAGTTTCTGATCGTTTCTGACCACACATATACAGAGGAGTAGTGGCCAGAAGAGCTAAATTATCTCGTAGTTATTCGCTCCACCTGAACCCCGCATATATCACCATGTGCTCCACGATATATTCCCCTCGCACGATCATTACTTGTTTCATAACTTTTTCATCACGTTTCCTCGTATGTATACAACATATTTTCTCGCATGTTCACCGCACGCCTCCTTGCATGTTCATCATATGTTTTCGGTATACACTCCCGCATTAACATGGGTACATTCCCCATGCGATCCCCTATACGTTTCCTCACATGTTCTTTACAGGTTCTCAGATGATCCCTCAAATATTCCTTACATGTTTTCCCAACTGTTCCCCCAAATGTTCCCTTAAATGTTCCTAAAAGTTGTCTCATATGATCATCGTATGTTCACGTGCTTTTTAACCTTGAAATTCAAAAATTGAAGAGTTTTTTAAAATTATGAGTAATATTTCTCAATACCTACATGGTATCGGAAGAGTAGTAACCACAATATCTTGTATCATATAAAAGTATCGACATTTTACTCTTTTTCGAATCTCTTAGTTAATGAAACCAAGAAAAATTAAGTGAAATGTGTAAATATTTGATGTTGAACGTGGAATAAAACTAGTATCGTTTTAATAAGCTATTTTGTCGAGGAGATGTATAGAAATTGGCTTACTTCGAACATAGCATGTGTAATTGCGTGGGGAGTTTATTCTCTAATGTCTATTCCCCAAAGTTCAGATCCGCAGATCGTTACGAAGGTCCTGTTGTCAGCCTAGTGTGTGTAGGGAGGTATTCAATAAAAGTTTCAGATGTGCACTCCTTAGTGCCATTCAAAATTATTTAATATTGATTGTGAAACGAAAACTCTGGAATTTGTTGACGTTTCGAGGAAACAACAATTTTTTTTATTATTGTGCAAAAAATGGGAAGTGATTGTAAAGTAAATCGGTCATACATAATTCTATACATTGAGGAATTAAGGAGAAATTTGTTGAAAATTCGCTAAATACGTAAAATATGTACAATTGTTTTATCATTTTTAACAATTAAATTACACATTACTTTAGTCAAAACAATGATGGCTTGCAATGCTTATTTGCTATGTGTTTAATTATTAGCGTAAAATGTGTAAATACGACAATAGACAAGGTGACTGCAGTTTCTATCAAAAAGGTATGGTGTGCTCCGTCGGTAATCCACTCCAACTAGCTTGAGTAGGGAATGCTTGTGTAAAACACCACTTTGTGGACAAATTATGTTCAATGGAAACTTTCGAAAGAAATCGCAGTTCAGGATAATGATGGGTCATTTGAAAGAAGATAGAGAAATCCATCAAACGAACGTAATGAACATTTATTCTGCCTTTAGCAAATATTGACACAATAATGGGCAGTACATTAAGAAGAGTTTAATACTTCAATTGCTAATAGTCATTTTCGAAGCTCTCCCATTAAATAGAAAACTGAAGTCCAAAAAGCATGAGATTCGACGAGTACCAGCTATAGAACTCTTAATTCTTAACAGTCTAAATCATGGAAATTCGTTCAAAACATTCTGAATCGGATGGAAATATGTGCAAGGGTTAGACTTTATCTTTCTAGTATTAAATCAGTTTAACAGGTAAACATGGCCTGCAATCATATGCAATGTCTTCACTTTTCAATTAAATTATTTATTAGCAATTAATTTAAAAAATAATAGGTAATTTGTGTTTTTAAGTGTTATTAACTACTATCTTAAACATTGTAAAGAATTGTCATCAGGCGGAAAACACATATCGAGATTTTACTGGGAACTCGCATTTCGAAAGTCAGTCGTCGACGTACAAAGCATATCTTTGAGTCAAATTAGTAAATAATTAGATATGGTAAGTGAGAGCTGTTCCAAAAGTTATTTTCCGCCTATCCAACAAAATATTTTTCTTGATATAATCGTCACTCCTACAAATTCATAAATTGTTTTTCAAAATTCGTATTTTTCTTGCGATTTGCTATAGTTCGCAACTCCACAAATGATTAAGAAAGTATGTTTACTCGTAAACATTTGTGTACTGAACAATTTTTTCTTGTTCTGAAGCAGTGAATTTTTAGTTGAAACATTGTAGGACTTTGGCCCAACTGAATTTACAGAAATTAGTTTAATGATGCTCTATTTTGGGGACGCTATGGAGATAAGTGTGTGCAAAACAAAATACAATTTCTTTGTAGACATTTTATAATTAGTTTTATCTAGTTCTGTATTTTCCCTAAATCAGTGAACGTAAATTTAAATTTTGTTTCTCTTATTCTTAGAAGATTCATTAAGTAAAATATTTGAGTGGTTAGGCGGAAGAGCAGTCATTTTAGCCTCAATTGAAATTTCTGAGATAATTAAGTTTACGAAATACATTTCTCATCTAATAAAACTGTTATTGATTGCAGAAGGTAGTTCACACGCGCTTGTTACCCAGAAGAGCGCCACGACGCCACCTAGGTGTGAAGATGTCCGGATACTTCGTCGACATGGAACTAAGCCCGGACTGATGCAAGGTAAGAAATGTTTGTACCTGTTAGTATTTTTAAGGCAGCTTATTAATGGATACTATAGTTCTTTTGTCTCAACCTCCACTCATTATTGTTCTTAATACTCTGCATGATAACGAACTGGCAGCAGAAAATTGTAATATAATTATGATAGATGTATTGGCTTACCATCCTAATAACATCGTATGAAACCACGGTCTGACACATTTGTAAGCATTTATTGGTTTCGTTAAGTACAGGTCTTTCACACACACACACACACACACACACACACACACACACGAACAAAATACAATAAAAAACAAAAAAAAATGAGAAATGTCATTGAATATTACAAATTGGACATTAATTTCATTATTAATTCGCACGACATGATAAACTATTTAGGGAGTGATTCCTGCATACCAATTAGGCACAGGTGGTCGCAACCCCCACTTAATTGCAATCTTTGTTGTACGTAATTCTCACATTAATCTACTCTCACTTGCACGTTCGTAGAAAAAATCACTTTCGCACAATGTCGCATTCTCGAAACATTTACTGAGGTGAAAAGGCTGCACGTAAATATATGTGATTCAAGTTCGTTTTAAAGTATATCTAAAACATAACTGCCATTTGCAGTGTTCCCGGCACTAATCGATGTTGCGTTATTAGCGTGTTGTAAAATAGGCTCTGCACTGACATCCAGTTAATCAAGTGATATGGTATATGCAACAAACCCATCAACAGACTCAAAATTGAAATTATTCTTTTTTTCTAGCGTCGTAAATTAAGTTATTTACTATGTCTTATCCGCCAATTAGTTCTGTGGAGTCGTTGAGGACACGTTCAATGTCAATGACAGAATTCATTGAATCATTGTTTAAGAAAACAGCATCCCGATCGTGTACAGTGTTTAAATGCGAAATGAATAAATCGGCAAAGGCTGTGCCCGGAAGCGGGGCTGCCAGTCTACCCACCCCGCGTGTTCCAGCGGCACCGCATCTCCTCCGCGGGTCGCACCACCGGCGCCATCGCTCTCTGCTCGCACGCTCTCTGCTCGCCGCACTCTGGGCCGGCGCTCGCCAAGTGCCTTGCGACGACTGGGCGCGCGCGGGCGGGCCGCGGGACGGCCCGTCCAGGCCCGCCGGCCGGCAAACCGCCACAATGGCACGTGATTTTAAAGTCGCGGAACCAGAGCGATCGCGACGGCACGCGGAGTTTTTTCACCCCGCCCAGGTAGGCCTCGCGCGCGCCCGCGCCCGCCCGCGCTTCCGGCGGAGAAAGCGCGCCGAGCCGGCCGCGCGGGCGCCGGCTTGCGGAAGGGTGCGCCCGCCCTTCGCGACAGGTCCTCCCGAACCACCCCGAATTCGCAGGCGCGCGAAAGGGAAGCGAAGCGAAGCGAAGCGAGGCGAGGCGAGGCCGAGGGGGAGGGCCGGGGCGGCACCTGCAACTGAGGTAAACACGCAGACAGGGGCCGGGAGGGCCTCTTTTCGGGCACTTTTTTTTCGCGGGCGAGGGGCGCCGCGTCGGGGCACGCGCCGCCCCCTTCGCCTGTTGGCACAATTGCGGCCGGCGGCGCCCTCGCCTCCGCAACAACGGGCGCACGAGGCGCTCGCAGCGACCCCAAGGTCACCGCCTGGTCACCTATCGGCTCGCCCCTCACGGCAACTGAATTTCGGTTGAGGGGCCCTTGGGCCGACGCCTTCACTCCGTTTGACGCCTTTCGTTAAAAAACGGAACGGCTAACAAAATTCATGAAAAGTTTCGGGTTTCTCAGGGAGCCTATGTCGTTTCAAGTAAAAAATACACAAGTAGCATCACGTGATCGTGAATCAAAACGACAACTCCTGAACGAAATTATTGATTACAGTTTTAAACCAATGTAGCAATTATTCTTAATGTAAAATGGAATTGGATTGGATTATAATGGAACTATGTGTCAGTTATCAAAATTTGGTTTTTATTCACTTACTAACAGTTTTACATGGTCACACACGATCGCTATTTGTATTTGGTCTTACGTTAGTCTAATGTGATTTGATTTGATATCCATTGAGCATATGTCACTTGCACAGCCTGTTAGCAGTACCAGGAGCGTTGGTCTGTCACATTCACGCACAGAAAATAATCAGTGCATGGCAGAGGAAGAATGGCGATACGTCGCAGGTGGAAAACCGGAGGTCCCGACGGAAAATTATCGTGCCCCACTGAATCCAGTACAAATATCACAATAATTAACAGGAACTGAGACATTCTCACGTGATAAGAGCGAGCAATTACGTCTTCGTTGCGTCGCCACTCGGCTGAATGGTAGTTTCTCGCGGCCCCCCTGATCACTGGCTGCGGAGCCGTTGCGAGCGGGCGTGGGGGCGTGGCGCTGGCCGTTGCGCCGGGCGGCCGGCCGGAAGGCGTCTGCGGCGGAGTGGACGCGGGGGCGGCGCCGGACGCCGGACAAAGCGCGTTCGCGTCGCGGCGGGCGATCCTCAATCGCCTCAAGGGGGCGGCGCAGGCGCGGGCGCACAAAACCTCTCCTCCTCCTCCTCCTCGCCGCGTCGGGCTGAGGGCTAGGGGGTTGGAGGCCGCGAGCGCGAGTGGGAGCTTGAAAGGGAGAAATAAAAATATAAAAGAGATTTCGAAGCGGCGGGAGGGGAGGGGTGGGGCGGGATGAAAGTTAAATGAGGCCGGACGCACCCAAGGCCGGCGCGGGGCGGTTGGGCCGGAAAGTCCGCGTCGCCTGCCGCCGGAGAGCTGCTCTCCTCCGTGAGGAGCTCCGCCGCGCTGAGAGCGAGAGCAAGTTACGAGAGACGCACGTCAGCGCCGCGCCCCGCCCGCGCCCCGCCCGCGCGCGGAAGAAGTGGCTCGCGGC